AGGATGGAAGTCCAGCCTTGGTTTGGGAGTTAACAAAACTCCTGGGTTCAGTGTGGGAGAAAGAAGAGGTTCCAACTGAATGGTGTGAATCGGTGATCATATCGATTTACAAGATAGGTGATAGATCCTCCTGTGAAAACCGCAGAGGAATTAGTTTAATCAGCATCGCATCTAAACTTCTCGCTGGCATCATACTCCGCCGATTGTCTGCCGCACGTGAAGGGTGTACGCGTGAGAATCAGGCCGGTTTCAGACCTGGTCGAGGCTGTATTGACCACATCTTTACACTTCGTCAAATTCCAGAACATAGACACTCCTTTCGTAGACCCACTACCTCTGTCTTCCTCGATCTAAATACGGCTTTCGATTCAGTCGACCGCTCTAAACTCTGGTACTGACTTTCCCTGAAGGAAGTGCCCGAGAAATTAATAGCAGTATTACGATCGCTTTATACTAATAGCCGAAGCCGAGCCCGAGCTTACGGCACTTTTTCACCTGAGTTCACCACGAAAAGTGGTGTTCGTCAGGGTTCCCCCCTCTCCGTTTCTATTTAACTTCGTGATAGAATCAATTCTTGAAACAACCCTATTATCGTGCGAGGATAGCGATATCGATTTACTTCCGGGGGGCAGACTGTCTGATCTAGAGTATGCAGACGACATTGTGTTACTAAGTGAAGATCCAGGTAAGTTGCAAGCTTTTCTGGATAGTTTGAGTGCTAGTGTCCATGTTCGGTATGCGTTTTGCATCTTTCAAGTGTAAAATGCTACTACAGGATTGGGTTGATCCAGCACCCAGTCTCACACTAACTGGGGAAGTAGTAGAGCATGCAGACAAATTTTGCTATCTGGGCAGCTATATCTCACCTGGCGGACGCATCACAAATGAAGTATCGGCGCGGATACAAAAGGCTCGATTGGCATTTGCCAACTTGAGACATCTGTGGCGCATCGCAACATCCGACTGTCTATTAAGGTTCGAGTGTACGCTGCAGCAGTTCGGCCAGTCCTGCTCTACGGTGCAGAGACTGGGCCACTAAGGGAACAGGATAAAGATAGATTGTCGGTGTTCGAACACCGCTGTCTACGTAGCATTGTACGAGTCTGGTGGGGTCACCGAACGAGCAATGCTGAGGTTTGGCGTAGAGTTTTAGGCATTCGCGGTCGGCCACTGGAGCAAGTAATCGATCTGCATAGATTACGTTGGTTGGGGCATGCGCTACGCATGTCACCAGATAGGTTGCCGCGGCGAACGATGTTTGCCAAGGCTGGTAGCGTTTGAAAAAGATCAAGGGTGGTTAAACTAAGACCTGGTATGAAAATCCTAACCAGGAGACTAGATCACATAGGCCCCGTTAGGCTCCTTAGCTGGGGACCTTGGGATGATCGTACCCGATGGTTAGAGACATAGTGATATGACTGGGTGTCGCAGACAGTGGCGCTCGTGCATCCACTCACTAAGCCCCTATCATTATTCTACATGAATTCTCCACCTTCCGCTTGAATTTGCTTTCAACATTCCAGTCTTCATTCTGCAATTTTTATCTAAATGGGGCACCAAAAGACAGTAACCAAAATCGGCGCACGAAAGTGCATGGTTGTTGGTTGTAAAAACTAAACTGAACTGAACTCCCGAGGTCCCCAGCCAGGGAGCCTAACGGGACCTATGTGACCCAGACTCTTGGTTAGGGTTTTCATACCCTCATGCTTGACTACTCTTGACTTTCTTCCACCCACTAACTGCATCGGCGAACATCGCTCGCCTTGGCAACCTATCTGGTGACATGCGTAACACATGCTCCAACGTAATCTATACAGGTCGACCACTAGCTCCAGTGGCCGACCGCGATTGCCTAAAACTCTGCGCTTAACCTCAGCATTGCTTGTCCGGCTATCCCACGAGATTCGTGCAATGCGTAGACGGCGGTGTTCGAACACTGACCGTCTATCTTTATCCTGTTTCCTTAATGGCATTTGATCAGATTGTACGATGCATCATAACACGAAGGTTACATAATGCGACGTTTTCAGTTGCTAAAAGTAACCACTCTAACATCCCAGTTTAGAAAGTCCACATTTCGATCACCTCGGAAGATGTTCCATCCATCAAGTTACACAGCTTCAATATCAGGATGTAGCAAACGTTTCTGGAGTAGAATCACTCTCACAATCTCGCATTCCTTCTGCTGTACCATGCACCATGCTCTTGAGATCATCGATTATCCTCATGAGCATGTTACTCGAAATAAGGAATGGAACGGCCCAAGCTGGCCAATACGATGCTTAGTGTCCAAGCTTATGCACGGATAACCTGACTCAAATTCCACATTACTCCACCCTATTTGGTTTGAGTTGAAAATAAAGGAAGTGTCGAATGGTTACATAGATTTTCACACTCTTCCTTTCCCACAGACACCCGAATGATAAACAACGATTTTGGTATCTGGAGTGAATTCAGTCAAGTACATTGGAGTCAGTATTGCTTACAATCTTCGTTGATCAACTCACATCTATGACTGCGCTGGTAAACCGTGACACTTATCATTTCGAGTTGGAAAGGTTAAACGGCTATCTTCAACTTTTGTATACCAAAGCGTTTTCCCAATTGGACTTTATTACTCTCCAGCTATTCCTTTTGGCTTTCTTAAAAATTTTTAATTCCTACTCCGTGATTCGGTGATTTTTTACTTTGGTCATTTGGGCTAATTCCGAATCAGTCTCATCATCCCATGGTTTCTCGTGTTAGCTTAGCGCAGAGGATTCTCGTGGACCCCATATAGTGAGAATTCGAATTCTCGCATCGGATGTTACGTGACTGGTTCACCTATTATCGCTTTTGTCATCATTGGCAAACCCGATGTGTTCACTGATCTGTATTTTCAATGTTGACCCTATAAACTATCTTATCACAAGTACAGTCAGCTCGTTCCGGTTCGGTGTTCTTCGTAATCAGAGGCGTACAGTTACAACACCCTAATCACCCTTTGCTCAGTAAATTGGCATGCTGTCACCCCAAACCCCGACCACGCTCTGAATGTATGATCGGACACTGGAAAAATGATTTGCAGTAAGTGAAAGACTGATCTACAAAGATATTTCTACACAATGTAGAGCGATGCTTCACTTTCGGGGCGCACTCAGACATACAAGGGGCTGCGTGTCAATCCATGCGCTCCTTGGGATGTGTGCGTATAGCATTGAACCATTCAGGTCGGTTTTGTGAAGCCCGTCACAGGAAGCGTTTGAGAGCCACAGCAAGAAAAGACTGAAACAAATGGACGGATCTAGTGATGCCATCGAGAAACCCTATTATGCCTTATGCGTCATTCAAAACGATAGCGGATCACATCATCAACAGACAGGAACACGGACAGGACTTGCAAACCCATCAAAAGGGTCACTGTTATTTGCCCATACTCTAAGGAGCATAGGATAATAATGTGATAAGACCAAGAGTGGTACGCAGTGGTGTTCAAGTATCTGATCAAGTTCTGGACACCACTCTTTACCTGGGTAATACTTGCACACCTCTTCTTTTGTTCTTACTCTATTCTTCGTTGGCGGACCCGAGATACTGATGAAAGACAGCAATCACATCCTGGGCACTGGGATGCAAACTTATTGACAGTACAAAGTGATGTGGACTGAACTGTGAACAGATACGATCACCAAGGGTGTGCGAGATAAAACAGGAAAACGTGCGCGCACACACATACGGGGATAATAGTTTGTCTCCCAAATTCGATCCGGGACTGGGAACAGCTCCGATTACAATCACGTATCGTCTGGAGGATACCAACAAGAACAATGGTGGCGAAGGTGCACTGGTGGAACTGCGAGTTGCGATGAAATACGCGATCATCTTGTTTTCAGTGCAATCAGCAAAAACTACAAGATTCGAATATCAGTGAACAGCATCGTTCGGCGCGTGTGTTTGACAGAGAGAAATGAACGACTTAGAGTACAATGCATAGACCCGTGCAAACACAGTTGGTTTGAAAAGACTAGGAGCAAAACAGTGTACGATTATTAGGGCTCAAGCGAATAGGTATCGATGTTTGATGAGAACATGTTGTTGGGGCTAGTGGTGGTCAGTTGAAGGTGATCACGCGTTCTCTGACACTCCCTCTCTGGCACACACACACACACTCAGTGTCGGACTTCAGTTTGGGTCAATGCGATGAGGCCTCAAAGTTCCCCAAAAGGGTGTATTGCGCGAATAGAGCAGACGGGATCTGTTGGAATGAAAGCACGCCAGGATAGGAACAAGTCCGATAATGACCTTGTGGTAAAAGGGACAATGTCTCGGATCGGGAATTCCGGGATGAATAGAAGGTGCCACACACACACAAAGACCGCGCAAACACAACTCGCGGTTTTAACAACGTGTTGAGAGCATACACCCAACAAAATCAGAATAGGAGGGATACCATTTGCGGTGAAGAAGGCAACTGGATAGATGTTCCGTTTGTACAAAGTGTATACACACCGGGGCGCACGAACGCACGCGCGCACCAATACACAGCTGTAAAAGCTTAGACCAAACCGAAACCCTCGGTTTGTTGAACAGCCAGAGATAGCTTTTGAGCCAGGACTTCTTTCGAACTATACAGTGGGAGATCAAGCAAGTTTGCACATGTATGCGCCACGGGCAGATAGTCGTCTCCACTGTTATTTGGTTGGATGGTGATCTGCATCGATGAAACAAGAAAAATGTGGAGGAAACAAAGGTAGTGTGGACCACAACACGGCTTAAGAAGGCAAAATAACAACTATAAATATATATATATATAATGATGATGATGACACGCCTAACCACCGACCCTCTGGGACTTTACACACAGAAACTATTTATTGCAAGTAATTCAGATAAACTATTTTCATCGAATGCAAAGCAATATCAGATCATGCTGAAGAAAATGAAACCAATCAATCCGTTGCCGATAACTTAGCTATTCGAGCTACCTTGCCACTGTCGTCAACGGGAATCTCCAATAAGATCAATAAATCACGTGAAGGGGTTTGACAGCAGATCGCTTGGAAGATGCCATAAATCAACTAATAACACGTGAACGAGACCGTCATTGCACACCATCACCCTCAAACGGATAAACAGTTGTCGTGCTGGTCTCAATTGATCGCGATTGGTGAGAAAACAAACGAGTGCGACGGGAGTTCATTAAATAAAGGGCTAACACGGAAGACATGACCAAATGTTTAACATAAAGTCGGAATGTTTGCAGAGCAGCTATAAAAATAAGCCAGGAGTTTGAACACAATCTCACCTTCAGACTGCTAAACCCAACAATCGGTACGCGATCACATCCGGTAAGGAATCGAAGAAATTTCTTCTTATCTTCGACACTAAACTCGATCAGTAGCACGTCCCAGAACCACTCAATCACCGGATGATGATCCCAGTAGACACCCTGATAAGAGGTATTTTCTCTGAGCTCATTCCAGTTGATCACCTCCAGACCAACCACCAGTGACTGAAATCGGGAACAGAAGAAAGGAAGAAGTCAGAGACGAGAACAGGGAGAACGCACAGGTAGATAAGAATAGTTTGCCTGACAAAAAACGAGACTACTATCAGCCCACTTGGTAGGAGTTCTGTTCAAATTAAAAAATGCGATGTTTGTGACTGAAATCGAACTTTACAAATTCGATATCCCTCCACTGCGGTATCGCCAGTATCCACAAAGTAACCGATATTTAATTTTTAAGAAACGGGAAAACAGTTCAAGCCGAGGTACGAAACGGAAAGCCCTAATTCATATATGGGACAACCGAAATATATATACACAGCATTAACCATTAACCAATACCGGTACCAATAACATTTTGGATTTTTGAAACATATATGTACAAAGTGTGTGTGG